TCCTCTGCCTGTGGCGTGTTGGCATAATGCCTAAGAGAATTGCTTCGAATTCCGGAGTTGATGGGTTTGATTCCGCTCGAGGGCAAACGTTATGTTGTTTATGAATTTCCTTGAACAAGGAATTTATCACACATTGCTTCAGAACGGGATTTTCGGTCAGTGGAGCGTCGAGCGTAGGTCGTGAGTTCAAGCTCCAGTCGAGATGACTCGCCCTTGATGTTAGTAAATGAGTACTACTCTCTGAGAAAGAAGCAGAAGTTTACATGTTGCGCATGCCACATGGACTATACACTATGTCTTTAAAATAAGGCACTACTGTCTGATGGCATAGGAACGGAGATCATCACCACGCCATCAACTTTATGAAATAAAGGGCACCAAAATGGTCCAATCGTGAAAGGGAAGACTGACATTCCAACTGTGACAGACATTCCTCTCCTCCGCTATTTGGTGCCGTTAAATTTATCTTTGTCGAAAAATTAGTCGCTACATATCGCTGATCTTTAAGATTTGCTGAGCAGCTATGTAGCCTTTGTATCTACGTAGCACGGCCTTTTCGTCAACTCTTTCTGACTGTATGTCATGTCATCTGCTACAATAGGAGAGATAAAGTTGTCGTTGAATTTTCCTGTATTTCGTTATCTGTTGGTTATATTGAAGCATAGGCTTTTACTGCGATCTGTTACTTATACGTAGGAGATTTTAACCGTGCTTCCATATGCATAATGTTTTATTGTGGCTGCGTAGACGAATCTTTTTATCTTTAAGTAAAATTTTGTGGGGTTTTTGAGCGCTGATGTCGAGAAGTCATTGAAATCTTCAAACTGAATGACGCAATTTACGTTGTCGTAATTTTTTGTCGCTAGATATTTCTTGAGGTTCTGTCGGGTCTGATCAGTACATTTAAGAGTCAACTAGAGACATCTTTCATGGATTTGCGATGTAATTATCGTATTTGTCATGCAAGCTAAAGCTCTGGTTTCTTGCTCTGGATGTTCGCTCTGAAGTCCTGTACTGATAAGTTGTAGATCAGGTCGATGTCACGATGTACGATATTGAAAACAGGTTAAATCGTTTATGTACATTTGTAATTACTTTTTATATAAATTTTACAAGCTTGACGCAAACAACCATAGCACTGGTTGCAAGTTTAATTATAGAGATAAGTTTAATTATAGAGAATTTTATTCGTATGCTCGTTATCATAGTTTAAACACTATTAAGAGGTTTGGTAATGTTAATTAAGGTAGACGGAATGTACTGCATAATTTCGTGTAGAAACATTATTTCGTTTGAAGTTTCACAGACGGCTGAGCAACTCGTGAACAGTTAGGATCAATAATTGCACGTTTTATTGGCATCACTGATGTACTAGACCATGCTCAGTCACAGTTTAGAGTACAAAATTCCACCAAAATCGAGCTGCACAGCATTATGGCACGTACCCCTGCACCTGGTTCAACAATGAGCCTTTTAACACATGCGACTTCATTTTCTTTGAACATATTTGCTGTATGCGCGGGTTTACCATTTCATTTGCTAGTACAATATTATTTTTCGCCATCAGTGACTGGTATTCGTTTTATTCTTTAATGGCGCGTTAAAACATGGGCTTGCGTAATAATAATAAAGTAATTTGCTTGTGTTAAGGGGTAGCCGAACTGATGTTTTGGCCCGCTCCTCACAAATCTT